AGGATTACGAATATAATAGAAAAGCTATGTTGAAGAGGGCAAGAGGCCTCTGCGGTTTGCGTTTAAAAAGACCGGCGAATGACGTAGTTAATTGGAATGCGTCGAGTTTAGCAAATTGTTTCAGAGTTTTTTGATAGATTCTTGATGGAAAAAGGACTATGTAACCAACGTTGGCGTTTATTAATTAAGCAGAGATTTATTATTCATGTTCCTTCTTAAATATGTTCTGCTTTTGATGCTCATCAAGATGAATATGTCACTTGTATTTGTGACAAGTGACAATACCAACATTTTTTTGTTTTATTTAGTTCTTTAGTTTAATTATAATTCTTAATAATAAGATATGTGATTATAAAACAATGAATTTTTGTACTTCATATTAATTCTAAATATGTGTTTGGTCATGCTAAATAAATCATGAATCCATACTATATGGAGTGACCAAACGATCATTAAAAACATTGTAAAATGACCTTTAGTGTGTGTTTGGGAGTTGGGTTTTGGAGAGAGGGGAAGCTTAATGGGGGTTTATGATCCTCTTTTTCGTGTTTGGGAGTTTAAAAATTGGAGGGGTGGTTTTGGAGGGCTTTTGCAACTCTTCAAAACCCTCCAAACGCATAATTTGTAAGTTCCCTCAATTTGGAAAGTTTTGGAGGATAATTAACAAGATGGTAATTTAAGCTAAATTAGAAATTAATATCAGCTCAATGCCTCAATGATTTGAATTCGTCATATCTCAAAATGATTTTAATTATAATTCCTTCAAAAACTCTCTCCTTCCAATTTTATTACTCCCAAATACAAAGAAGGGCTTCCTCACCCTCCTCTCTCTTTCCCCTCCAACAACATGCCTCCAAAGCCTTCCCCTCCCCTTCCCTCCAAACTCCCAAACATACCCTTAGGATGTGTTTGGGAGTTGAGTTTTGGAGGGGAGGGAAAGGTTAATGGGGGTTTATGATTCTCCTTTTCATGTTTGGCGGTTTAAAACATCGGAGGGGATGGATTTGGAGGGCTTTTGTAACCCTTCAAAACCCTCCAAATGCTTAATTTTTAAGTTCCCCTAATTTGGAGGGTTTTGGAGGATAATTAACAAGATGGTAATTTAAGCTAAATTAAAAATGAATATCAGCTCAATGATTTGAAATCGTCACATTTCAAAGTGATTTTAATTATAATTCCTTAAAAACCCTTCTCCTTCCAATTTTAATACTCCCAAATAAAAAGAAGAGCTTCATCACCCTCCCCTCCCTTTCCCCTCCAACAACGTACCTCCAAAGTATTTCCCTCCCCTTCCCTTCAATCTCCCAAACATACCCTTAGGTTTATCCCTTATCTTTTCCTACAGTCTCTTGAAAATGTCCTTCTATGCCACAGTAGTGACATTTGAAGATTTTCTTTTCAAAATTATCTTTATCAGTTTTATTCTTCTTCTTTAACTGTTCTTTTTATTCTTTGGTTTCCCTTTAATAACTAGGGCTTCATTTTTGTTCTCTGTTTTCTCAGTATTAGAGGGATCAGATTTAGACTTAAAAACTTTAAGGGATTCATTCTTCTCAAGTATAGCATCAGTGATCTTACCAGGGGTGAGATCATCATTAGAATACTGGATGACATCCTTAAAGTTATCAAACTAGGGTGGTAAAGAGTTTAACAGAATAACAGCTTGATGGGTGTCTTTTATCTTTTCATCTACCTTTTCTATTTCTTGAGTCAATTTCAGAAAATTATCCAAATTCTCATATAAAGACACAGAAACATTCATTTTAAAGGTAAACAGTCTACAGAGCAGAGAGATCTTTCTAGACATAGATTTTTTCATATAAGTGGAGTCAAGGGTATCCCATAACACTTTAGGGTCAGTGATTGTGGAAAATTTTCTAGCCACATTGTCAGACAGATGGATAATCAATTCAGAATATGTAGCATTTTTTAGTTCAGTCAGATCAGAACTAGACACATTGGGAACAGTATTAGAAGGGACAACTCCAAAGCATTTCTGCTTCATCAGGAGAGCTTTCATCTTAAGCTGGCACATGGGAAAGTCACTGGTACCATCAAAGATGTGAATCTTGATACAAGTGTCAGACATGTTGCAGATTAAGATCCAGATACAAATAAGTAATAGAAACAGAAGGCAATCAGACAAGAACTAAATGCAATCAAGATTCGAACTGTTTTGAGCTAGGGTTTCAGGATCGAAAAACAGTAGACCAAAAAATTAGGGTTTCTTGAAAAAACTCAATCAAATCAGAAATTTAGATTAGGGTTTCAAGAATCGAATGTAAAGGCTCTAATACCAATTTGTTCTCAAACTATATCAATAGTCACAGTCAAAATACCGTATTCAAATTTCAAGTTCAACCAAAACAGAAATGAAAAAAATGAACACACGATATGTTGACGCAGTTCGGATAAATCCTACTCTGCGGGGTTTCAACAGGGGAAACCAAGTCCCAAGAATCCACTAGCTCAGAATCCTTTGAATACAGAGATGGTTGCAAAGCAAGATCAGAAAATAATACGATCTAACACACAAGAATCAGCCGAAACACAAGCAATACAACAGAAGTAGTAAAAGGAATAGAAATAACCGAACAAAGCTTCCAAAACCCATGTGTGTGCAGATTCTTGGATTCGAACCAACAGCCCAGCGTTTAAGCTTCGCCACACGATTGATTTCCAACCTTTCTAAGTGACGAGCACTTTGTCACGGTGCGTCAAAATTATTTTCAATACCACTTATATGTAGTATAGCGTAGTAGAGTTCGTATCCACAGGGAAAGGAATAATTCTCTTTTTATGAAACTTAGTAAATAAAGAGAGGTTTTGGTGATGAATGATTTAATTAAATTAAAAACTAAGATGAACGACTTATATGAGATTTAATTCAAAGATAAAAAGGACTTGACATTGCTACTTTCCACTTGTTGATGTATTTTAGTCGATCATTGTTATATCTATAACTTATTCCCTCTTGAATACTCAATCGGGGAATATATCCACTTCATCGTGGTTAGTTATTAACAACGACCGTTCATTAATAACGCTTACTATTAATCAAATATAGAACAACGTCTTATACCGATTTAATAGTAGCATTTAATCTTTCTAACTCCTTGATGAAATCAATTGAGATTGATAACCTCAACACAACGGTTTCGGTTTAACCAAGAAAATTAATCCCTCTTAAGTTTATTAACCACGACCATTAATAAACCGAAGTTACTTACTTGTGAAACCATCAATGATTAACCATCGGTTCGTTGATCGTTTCTAGTAATAATTAATATATGAAACAAAACTAGTTGATCCTTTAAGTAATGTTCAAAATATTAATATGAAATGAGAATAGGAATTAATTAATATTCAAGGAAGAATATTATTAAAGAAGATGAGTCCTACTATAATTAATATCAAGATGTTAACTAATTGTCATCTTAGTAACACTCCCCAACATTAATATAGAGGAAGAAAATACTACTATTATTAATGTAAAGATGTTAGCTAATTGTCATCTTAGCAACACTCCCCAACATTAATATAGAGATAGTATTAAGGAGAGAACTAATAATTAATATTCAAGGGAAGAAGTTTAAGAAAATAACTCACAACTTTAATAATCAACAAACTTCAAGAGCAACACCAAGAATTGGAAGTTTAACTCCTCATTTGGAGACTAAACATAGCTAGAAAAATATAAAGAAATGCTATTCTAAACTGAGCTTAAGAGTATGGAAGAAGGGATGATTAAAAGTGAAGGAAAATGAGACTATTTATAGGTGTTTTACAACACCTTTGGCTGGGTACCCGACCGGGTAAAGTGCTCACCCGATCAGGTGCATGTCAAAATCAAATATCCTCCACGTTCTGGTGATCTTCGGCATGTTAAAGTGTCTCGGGTCAAGTCAGACCCGACCGGGTGAGGTAGGGGACCCGACCGGGTGAGTACACTTTCCAGGCACTTACGGTTGTTGAATCAGACCCGACCGGGTTCAAGGTCTGACCCGGCCGGGTTTTGTGCTCCTAGCCCTTTTTGTCTTCAATTTTTCTCCCCTTTTTCTTGCTAAAAACTTCTAACACTATTCTACAACTATAAATGGAAGCTAAAAACAATTACAAACAAAGTTAAACAAATGTCTACAACTGCATACAAATGGTAAAGAATCCACACAAATCAAATATAAAAACAAATATTTATGCACTACTAATTAGTGCATATCAAATACCCCTACACTTGATTTTTTACTCGTCTCGAGTAAAATAGATCATGTCCCTACAGTCCTCCAAATGATAAAATAACAATCCACGAATTTTTAAGAACAAAGATTTTTTTTTACAAAGCATCCCCAAACAGTGAATAGAGTAAGAAGGGGTCTTCAACTGCATTGTTATCTCCATTTCTTTTTCTTAAGTTTGTCACCTTCAGGATCCTGCAATATAAAAAGATTTCCTCTCATTCTCTCGTTTTGCCTAGGTGCTCTTTCAAGTTTTCATCCCAGTTTCTCACATTTTGTTTTATTTCACTCTTATTTTAATGCTTTTATTTTTGCTTGAGTTGCCCTTTGTGGGTTTTCAACTCAATAAGCTTTTTTTAAAGAGAAAATATGAATGAAAAGAGTAGGATTGTGAGCATATCAGAAAAATGTCAACACCCCCAAACTTAGTACCTGACACTGTCCCTAGTGCCCGTCTTCATCTTCATCATCATAGAATCCTCTATATCCTTGGTAGTTTGTTAAATGTGTATCCTCATCCATGTTATCACCTCCGTGTCTCTCATCCCCGCCTCCACCACCGGAGCTCGATTCTCATGGACAGATGCTGCTGCTACTCACAGGGGATTCTCCCTCTCTACATCTGGGATAGCGATAGGACCAAGCAACACCAACATCACCGCTACTCACATTCCCAATCCAGATACTTTGCTAGCAGATTCATGAGGAACAGAGGAATCTCACCCAAAACAGGTACAGGTTTCTACCAAAATCCTGTATCTCGTAACTGTCGCTGCACCTGCTGTTACCCAACCCGCGGGAATAGAAAACCTGCATTACAACTCAGGTATTACACGCATAACCATTACAGCCCCTTGGACCAACTCCAACAAGCACCATTTATCACACCAAAATGATGTATTTCTCAAAAAATTGCTCCAACAACCACTCCATTTTCAACACCATTACACCAAAATGGGGGAGAGGGGGAGAGTTCACACCAAATATGGCACACACCAAATGTTCCACCATTTTTTGTTTTAATTTTTTTTTTATTTCAAAAGTGACCCAAAGTTTTGATTGTTATAGTTTTGACCCATTTTTAAAACAACAAATTAGGATGTTTTTACTTGGACTGAAATTGCTGGTCTATTTGTATGATTTGGTCTGATCTGAACTGATGTGGTTAGGTCTGATTTCTTTATATTTTTATAACTACTCAAATTTGGTCAATCCGGTCTGATCTGATCTGGAACAAATCGCAATCCAACTAAAAACCTCCGTATAGAACAAGTGATTAAAATTATTAATTTGATAGAAAATAAAAAAATATAATTAAATTTAAATCACACAATATTATAAACAGAGTTTCAAATCCAAACAACATAATAACAGAATACAAATGATACTTAAGAAAATTACATAATTAAAATTGCAATTAATAACACCATTATAATTAAAATTAAAACATAATTAAAAACATACATAGTACATACTAATTTAGAAATTAGTAGTCATTCAACCGGCTTCCTGACCCTCCAAGACCATCAAATTGAATCCCAAATGCAGCTGATTCCCAATTATTTTTTTTTGTAAAATTTAGAAATGGCGTACAAATTATTACTTCCTCCGTTCTTTAATTCTTGCAACATTATGATTTTTGCACTATTAATAGACCTTACTTTGACCATGATTTTCTACTAATATACATAATCAAATTATTACGTATAAAATGTTATTAAATTCCTATCAATGTGAATTTCAAAAATATCAAATTTTTATAAAGTTTACTAATACATAATTAAATATAATTACAGTCAAAGTTGTGCGTTGGCAAACGTGAAAGTCAAACTGTTGCAAGAATTAAAGAACGGAGGATAGTATAATATTATTGTAATATTAATTTTATGTGGTTTTAGCTTGTATTTGTGAAATATTGATTATTGTATTTTAATTAGTTAAATGCGTGAAAATGCATATTAAAATGGTGTATTTTAGTTTGTATCTGTGAAATAATGTGTGAAATGTCAAAATATTAAATGATGGGCTAATGTATAAATATATTACATACTTAAACAGAAGAACGGTAAAAAGTTAGTAAAAAGATTAAAAAGAGAATGTTCCTTTTTGGTGTTTAAAATGGTGTAAACTGTTGGAGGTAAAATACCGTATGATGTGATGCTTATACCATTTTAGTGTAATTTTAGTGTAAAAAATGGTGTAGACGGTTGGAGATGGCCTTAGCTCCAAACAAATCAAGAATCCAGTTCAAAACGGGACCAAATCAACAAGAACAAAGATGCGACACTCTTCAACGCCAAAACATACGGCCACACCAGCAACCCCAGGCAGGGGAAACGGACGATGGCTGGCACACGGTGAAATACAGGGGACGGCAACACCCCCCTCACCCCAATAAACGAACTCAGACGCACCAACGCTCCAGTTTCGGAAAGCTTTGGGCAGCTGGTAATGGTAATCGTTACCAACGCTTACGAATCGAGGATGAAATTGATTTTGAATCAGATATCCTGTCAAATCTCAACATCAATCAGGGAATTAAAGAAAAGGTCAACGGGAACGGGAGAGAATTAACAATAAGTCCGTCGCGACTGCAGGAGATTAGTGAGGCCACCATCCGGAACAGTACACGAACACCTAAATCGACGGCCGCAGATTCCCAGAGGCGAGCTTCCATAGTTCCATCTACTTCAGGGCCAGGGGCCGAGGCTGAGCCCATCGTCGACAGCCAGTCTGTCGTGGAGACAAGGTCACTTGCTACCACATGGGCTGACATCGTTAGGATGGAGACCCCCCTTCAATTTCAAACCAATGTCGATCTGATTCAAGAAAAGCCAATTATTTTCAATGACTCAAATATTGGTACAGGCAGGGACTTTATGGAAATACATCAGGCAATGACGGATGATTTATCCAAGCAAACCCAAAATTTCCACTTCTTTGGAGAATAAAAAATTGATTCTATCAAAATTGAATAAAAAATACTTAGCTTTGCTGTCAGACAAAATGAGGTTGTAATTTTTTAAATTACAAAATTCTCGATGCATAGGATTAATTTCAAAGTTGAGCAAGCAACCCACATCTTCCGATATATCAACCATCTCACCGGTTCAGAAAATTTTAAGCAAAGCAGACGATTTGATTCTATCACGGTCTCTTCCAAATTCAACAGTTCTGACCGTTACCTGAAGATTGCTAAGGACAAAGGGAGTTTCATACTTATTCCCATGGGCCGAAAAAATCCAATTTAAAAGATTTTATGGCAATATTTTCCAATTTAGTTGGACTAACCGATTTAGTGCAGGAGCCACCAATCCACTGGTTACAAGAAACCACATTAGTGACAGAGGAGCCAACATCAATATCAAAGCTTATCTTTGATTCTCACATTCGGGAAGCCTACTCAGACAAACAATGATCTCCATCTCCGGTGGAACAACTCAAGCTTGCTCAAGCTTACTCAGATGCATCAGACAACTTTTATCAATCAGATGACTCTTCTTTCATGGATGACTTTTTGGGACATGTAACTAAAAGCGATCGTCATCCCCCTATCTCAACCCCGACCGACATTAAGAAATCAAAATTCAACAGAACGCTTTGCAGCAAAGCCAAGTTTGTTACCTCAGAAAATTGTCTGCCAACACAAAACCTGAACACGCAACTTAAAATATACAGGAAATCTCAAAAGAATAAAAGGTGGCACAGCATGACGACAAGATCGCAGTCTAGAGAATTCCCATGGGTCTAGTTATTTAGTTTGTTTTTTTCTTTGTACTGTTTATTTTCTTTCTTTCTTTTCTTTCTTTTTTCCCTATTTGCATTGTAATGTTTACTTTATGAATAAAATTCACTTTTCTTTAAAAAAAAACCCACTCAGTGGGATCATACCATGAGGGTGCGGGAGGGGGAGTGGTCATAGAGGCAAAAGCACCATGGTGTGCCACGTGAGAGTATATCAGACCAAAGGTTCTCCGTTGGTCCTCTTCATGTCTGCGCCAATCTTCTCGTCTTTGCTCTTCTATCCTTTCGAAACTCTGCCTCTGCTCATTTCTATACAACACGACTTCCTCCCGAAGTTGAGTGTAGTTGAGGTTAAGAGCATTCATGCTATTTAGCATTTTTTGCTCAAATGGGGAATATTGATGAGCATGGGGTTGTGGTTGAGGTTGTTCAAGAATGAAGGGTGGTTCGTCTGCAGGCTGTTCTTGTTGGGCTTGTTCTAGTTGGTAATGAAGTGGTATTCTCCCGGGGAGATAATAATGGTGTCCATCACCAATTTGGTGATCCAGAAGGTCCAAAGGGAGGTCGTCTGAGGGTAGTTGTACATGTAAGGGATTAGGTGGATCGATCAACCAATTGTAGATATTTACCCCACCGGGTGTTTTATGAGAAAAAACAATATCTTTGGTATTTTTCAGGAGCCAGGATATGCAAACTAGCTGTGCTGAGGTAATGGGGCCTGGGTCTACAAAGCCATAGAGTGTGGCTAAATGCGTAATCAACCCCCTACCGTAATAGTTCCTGTGGAAGTTGCCACTGTTCTGAAATGGTCCCATAGGATGGTGGCAACATCCACTTGATCTGGTCCTGGTAAGACAGCTTGTCCAAGAATACAAACATCACATACCCTCGTGTGATGGTTATTCGGTCTTCCGAGAAAACAGTTTGATAAGAATTTTAAGAAAATTCGGAAGACCGGATGTTGGACACGATTCACACTAAGGTGGCTGAGCTCCACATCCACCTGACCTGTCATTCTTTGCCACAATTCTACACCCACAAAAGTGACATGCTCGCGTGCTTCATTGAACAAGGGGAGGCCAAAGTGTTGGGCAAACTCCCGCTTGGTCAATGAACAATTTTCATTCAACAGTCGAAACGTGATTCTACTTTCGGCATGATCATCAGTATTTGCTATTTGGTTAAATGAACTAAAGAATTCATACACCAAATGTGGGTAGGTGACATATTGCATCTCAAAAATCCTACGCATCCCAATGCTCGTGAAAATCTCACGCATAATCACATCAAGCATAAGTGAGACTAATGTAGCAATGCATATGAAACGGGATTGTCTTACCTCCCGTTTTGTTTGTCCTATGAAGCGCGTTTTGTGGCCCTCGGTGACAAACTGCACACTCTCAAAACCGGGAACAGGTTCCATAGCTTGGTTACCCCTTGAAGAAGATGCCTTGGACTTTTTAGGAGCCATTGAAGTTGATTTTTTTTTGTTTTTTTTTCGGACTTGGGTATGGTGGGGTTTGGAACTTTGGAGTTTTTGTGGGTTTTGGGTATTTTGGGGTTGTGAGAGTGTAGAGGATGATTATTAGGAGAAGAAATTGGGATTTCTTGGGAGTTTTAGGGGAAAAATCGGAACTTTGGGGTATGGGGGTTAGGGTTTCGGATTTCCTTTGGGGATGGATTTGGGTAGGATTTTTGGGTAAAAAATGGAAGAGGGTGTTGAGGAGATGAAGAAAATGTGTTTAAGGGATGGATTTGATGGAGAAATGGGAAAGAATTGAAGGTTTGGTGTTCGAAAATGGTGGAAATGGGGGAGGGTTTTCGAATTGGGGAGGTGAAATGGAGAAGAAAGGTGGTCTGCCCGACCCCTTATGCTGTCAAAACCCGATGACCCGGCCGGGTGGGGTAATGTGACCCGGTCGGGTCTAACTCACGCTTATCCAGAGAGTTCTTTTTTCAAAACGCCCGGCCGGGTATTTTAGTAGACCCGGTCGGGCCTAACTTATCACTATCCAGAGAGTTTTTAACAGAATCACCCGGCCGGGTATGTGAAGGTCACCCGGTCGGGTGTTTGATTATTCTCTGTTCCTCAGCTGCCTCGCTCGGGCGATTGGTCAGGTGCTGTGTTTTATGAAGCAACCCGACCGGGTAAGGTTTTATATCCGGCCGGGTTCAATCCCAGGCCATTTATTTTTAAATAAAACACACACACGAATAAAAATGAAGAAATTGGGTTGCCTCCCAAGAAGCGCTTGATTTAATGTCGCGGGACGACGTCATTTTTATTTTATTTCTTTTATGTGGGATCGTGAACATCCCTTGTTTCATCTTTCTTTTTCGGCCTTCTCCAGTAAGGACGAGATTTCTTCCTTGTTATCACTTCAACCCCAGGTATGGATCCATTCTCTTTTTGAAAATTTGAGCAATTCCCTATGCTCAATTTGTTCTTCTTTTTCAAAAAGTGTGATTTTCTCAGCTTTTTTTTCAACAAAAACATTCGGTGTTTGTGGTTCAAAAACATTTAGAGAACAAAAGGATTGATCTTTAATTTGTTTTTCCGTAGAATCAAAGATGTTGAATTCTATTTTTTGATCATCAAACTCTAAAGTTAATGAACCATTAGGCACGTCTATTTTTGTTTTTGCTGTTTTTAGAAAAGGTCTACCCAAGAGGATGAGTGTTGTTTGATTGTCATCTCCCATTTCAAGGACGTAGAAGTCAACAGGGAAAATCAGATTTTCAACTTTTACGAGTACGTCCTCAACGACGCCCTTGGGGTATGTGCTAGACCTATCCGCCAATTGGATTACCACACCAGTTTCATTCATTGGGCCAAGTTTTAGAGACTTGTATAACGAATATGGAATAACGTTGATCGAAGCCCCTAAATCCAACAAGGCCCTCAGAAATAAAATGTCCCCTATTTTGCATGGGATTGTGAACATGCCTGTATCACTACATTTCTCGGGGAGTTTCTTTTGAAATATCGCCGAGACACGTTCACTAATCTCCACCTTTTGTTTTCTATTTAATTTGATTTTTCTTTTAATTGTGCATAATTCTTTTAAAAATTTAGCAAAACGGGGAACACTTTTAATTAAGTTAAGGAGCGGAATGTTTACCTCACATTTGGCGAAAGTCTCATACGTGTCACCATCTTTCTCCAGCTTCCTTGTTTCCTTCAGTGCTTCGGGGAATGGGGGTAGTGGTTCATATGAGGACAATGGTGGAAACTTTGCTTTTATGGTCCGCTCTTCCGGTTGAAAGTCTTCTTCAAGGCCAACCTCCTTTTTATCTTGCTCTTCTTCCTTATGCACCTCTTTCAATGTCGTCCCACTCCTCAACATGATTGCATTAACATGTTGTCTCGGGTTTTGCTCCGTTTGAGAGGGGAGTCTACCCGAATCTTTTGCCTCGAGCCGGCTCACAACACTCGAAATTTGGCTCATTTGGTTCTCCAAATTTTGAATGCTAGATTTAGTCGTTTCTTGAAATTGGGCCACACTTTGTTGTATCGTTGATACACTCATGTTAAGTGCTCGAATCATGTCTTCAGTGGACATATTTGAGCTTGAAGTTTGGCCTTGGGAGGGTTGGTTGTATTGTTGGGAAGAAGAATTTGGTTGTTGAGGATTTCCATACCTTAAATTTGGATGATCTCTCCATCCTGGATTGTATGTGTTGCCATGCGGATCGTACCTCCTTTGACCTTGGAACCCCAATGCGTTGACTTGTTCGGGATTCTCCTCTTGTAGTGCTGGGCAAGAATCGGTGGGATGCTCTTGTGTTGAACATATGCCGCAGACCTTGACTTCTTTTGTTTTTGGATTTAAGAGAAAATCTTTAACCAAAGAAGTCAAGCCGGCCACTTGACTTTCCAACGAGGTGTTAGATTCTGCCGCCATAACTCTTTTTGATGACCGCCGGTCATAGTGTCTACAATTCTCAGCCAACTCCGAGATAAGATTCCTAGCTTGAGAAGGGGTTTTGTTTACAATTGCTCCTCCACATGCGGCGTTGATCATCCGCCTATCATCATTGCAAAGACCATCATAGAAGTATAGGATGAGGTCTTGCTCTGAATAGCCGTGGTATGGACAGCTCACACAAAGTTTCTTGAATCGTTCCCAATATTCGTAGAACGATTCATCATCTTTCTGCTCCACATTGCTGATTTGCTTTTTGAGAGATGAGGAGACAGAGGCAGGATAGTACCTTTCGAGGAAAGCTTTCTTCATGACCGCTCATGTACCTATACTTCTCGAAGGAAGATAGAATGGCCAATCTTTTGCGGTATCTTTTAGGGAGAACGGAAAGGCCCTCAACTTTATTTGCTCCTCGGTGACACCGTTCGGGCACATGCTTATGCAAACGATGTGGAACTCCGAAAGATGTTTATTCGGATCCTCTCCTCTTAGCCCGTGGAAAGATGGAAGTAGATGTATGAGTCCGGATTTCAACTCAAATGTAGCACCCGCATCAAGAGTTGGGAAGGTGATACATAAGGTTTGTTGATTTAGATTGGGAGCTGTGAGCTCCCTCAGCGTTCTTGTTTCAAGAGCCATAGTTATTGGCTCTTCGGACTCGCTAGAATGCGAACTAGCACTTGAGGATTCTCCCGAGTCGGTGTTTGAGAATTTATTTTTCAACCGCTCGAGAGCTAGTTCTATTTCAGGGTTTGTTTGGTAGGTGAGTTGGTTTATGGATCGGGTTTTTACCACATACTCAAATAAAGCTCAGAAAAATAGAAATTTATATATATATATATATATATATATATGATTTTTTCTTGAAGTGAAATAAAAAGAAAAATTAATTGCCTTTCCCCGGCAATGGCGGCAAATTTGAAGAGCACTTTGTCACGGTGCGTCAAAATAATTTTCAATACTAACACATATATGTAGTATAGCGTAGTAGAGTTCGTATCCACAGGGAAAGGAATAATTCTCTTTTTATTAAAATTAGTAAATAAAGGGGGGTTTTGTGATGAATGATTTAATTAAATTAAAAACTAAGATGAACGACTTATATGAGATTTAATTCAAAGATAAAAAGGACTTGGCATTGCTACTTT